GAAACTACTGCAAAAGAACGACCTTCAATGTTTGAAAAAAAAAATCCTGATTCAGCACAGGGATAAAACATTTTGGAAAATGTGAATGAGACATGAGCATCTGAATAACAGAAGAAGAACACAGAACTGTAAATTTACCTCTAATTATAGAGGCTTTTCAAAACAGTGTACAGCACTACGAACGTGAACATGGGTTCCTGAGGATCATAAACAGAGACAGTAAAAGATCTCTGATAACAACAAATATAGGAGAGTCTATTCTCTGTCAGACAAAGAGCCATTAGCAATAAATGCAGCAGGGGAGAGAAAAAAATAAAAAGTAAATAACATCCTGGATACACCACCAAAGACCCCAGAGCCATTAACCAAGAGCGATTCTCAGGCTGCTTGTAATAAGAACCATAAAATCAGCAGAACAGGCTCACATAGTAACTTGTTCTACTCAAAATCCCAACACACTTGACTTAGCAACACTGCACCTTATGAGGCAACAAACCAGAAGGTATTTTTAAGCTCAAAGTTAGAAAAAAAAATAGACAAACACAGAAGTTCAACTAAGGTAACTTTTGCAGCCAATATAGATAATCCACCTCATAAAAGTAACCCTTTATTTCAATCTAATTCTGGCTGTTTCCCAGAAGAATCCTTGTTCTGTGAAAATTTATATTGCTTCTAAAAAACCTCATATGTACATGACAAATGCAAAGAAATCTATTTCAGTTAATTTATTCTGAATACTTGGTTATAAATCCAAACTGCTTAAGAACACCTCTCACAATATTGCATTTATTAGGTGCTATTTTTTTAATCCAAGTCATATTCATCTTACAAAAAAAAAAGACAAAAACCAACAAAATCCCCTCCACACATATTAAAATCCACTAAGCATTTTAATGCATTTAAATCTTAGAGATCTCCCAGGTCTTCACTAATTTAAATCTGGCTCTACTTTAATAGCAATTATAGTTCTTATCTCTGTAACTAGTGCCAGAAGGTTGGTTGGATCCTCCTTTCCTAACAATTAGGAATCCCATTCTAATGCCTACATGCTTTTATATATGGACAGCCTGTATTAATGTAAAAGTTTCCTCTTTACGCTATACATTTACAGAGAGCAGCCAGCGTTTTTCTCCCACTCCAGAAAATATAAGCACCTAGGCATTAATCGGAAGAGCCTCTTCCTTGCATCAAACCTATCAATCACAAAGGCATGCAGCAAGTCAAACAGGGAATCTGATCCAGCAGAAAACTGACCCGGCAGAAGAACTAGTTCGCTGTCAGATCAATGTGATCCTTTCAGCAGCTGCCTGTTAGAGCAGATTAAATGTATCATGAAACTGCACACAAAGAGTTTACAGAGAACTGGCAAGCCACCTAAAAGTAAAGCAGACTTGGAATAACATCTCATGAGAAACACACTCCTTAAAGCTAGACTTTTCTCCTCACAAGACTCTTGACTCCCAGCCATCCTGAAGGACACAGTAGTCAGAAGATGAAAAAAAAAAAGCTTTTTCATTGGAAATCCATATCATATGGCCTTGGTTTTCAACATAGCATGTAGCTAGACAAAGATGAGGAATAAGACGTGTTCATGTTCTCACAGAGAAGAATCTAACTTCTCCAACTGCTAAATCCAAGGGATGGAGATGGCCCACAAGACTAACAATTACTTTAACGTCATAATCCCCACCAAAACTTCTAAAAATACCTAAAATGGCTATTCCTGCATCTCTGCTTCAGTTACCAAAGAATCTAAAATCCATTCTGTCAGGAAGATCTGTCAGGTTGTGATAAACCATTATGGTGTATCTTTCCTCCTGCAAAGCCCAAAATGGAGCTTCACTGCATTGTTATTTTTTCTCATTTAACAGGGAAAAGGCTGTTGTAGCTGAACCCAACTGACACTACACAGCTCCTCAGGGAGAAGAAGTACGTGGTGCTTTCCAGAGGTGATCAGCTGTGTTTCAGCAAGAGGTGACTACTCCTGTTCACAACTCAATTAACCCTGGCAGAGCGCATGCAAAGGGTTGCTGCTGAACTAAGCTCAGACTGTGTCATTCTCTCCTCCCTCAGATATAAAAAAATATTCTTTAAGAGTCCCTTACCATGTTCATTAAAGACAACAATACTAAAACCTACTGCTCCAAAATTATGTTAGCATGTGGTCAAACACATGGAATTTACATGGGCCTTGGTTTGGCTGGGTTTTTTTTAGAAAGTGGGGTGGGGTGTGTTCAGTTGAGGTTTTTTACTATTTTTAATAGTATACAGACTAAATTTAATCTCACAGTGAGTCTCCTGTAAATTAAGAAGGTATTAATGAAAAAAGACACGTTCATTGAAGCACAAGATTTTCTAGTCAAGTGGTACAAGATAAATCTCAGCAACTTTCAAAGAATGTCATGGAACAAACCGAAGTTTAGTGAAATTACAGCAGGCAAGTTCAGTGTGTCCAAGAATCTGACTCAATATACCCTGACCTCACTTTACTCCCTAGGCATTCAGTTAAATAACATCAATATTTAGGAGGTAACTAGCACACATAGGTAACTAGCAATAAAGTTTCTCTACAGATCAGTATCTGTAAATTCAATTTAACATCCACTCATTCAATGGATGTATATAAATATATTTATTAGCAGTTAGGATTACAGTTTACATATCAAAAGATACAAGCTTTTAAGCAGAAAAAATAAAGTGGAAAGGAGGTTTTAAAGGAAATTCTCACACAGGCATTCTACAGGTACTGTAACAGAAAACAACTATTATTTAAGTAAATCATATGACTCATATTACACACTAGACAAGGATTAGTCCTACATCTTTGAAGCCTTTTTCACCTTAGAAGAGAGATCTTCTCAGCAAAGATACACCTTTATGCTAGTGGAATCACTTCCACTTGGCTAATTTGATCTATTCCCCAGGCAGAGGAAGACACAGTCCTCTGTCCAGTAAACCCATACTTTTGGGGGACCTCCATAGGCAACACCTGCTCAATACCAAACATAGTGAGTCACCTCCAGGGACCTGAACACCTGAACCCTCATCCCTCTTTAGTCCCTATTCACAGGGATAGGGAAGTACAAACTACTGGAAGTACAAACAGAAACACAAAGGTACCACCTGGGTCAACAAAAAGTCATCCCATTTTAAGGAAGAAGTACTTTTCTGAACTATTTTGTTTCTGCCTGTGGAAAATAAAAAAGCTTAATGACAAAGCTGAGTACACACAACTTCCAGATTGATAACATGCAGTTCTGGTTGTCATCAGCCTGACAACAATTAGCAATAAGTGTAATACTGAAGATAATCAACAGCATCCGCAGGCAAGTCACCTGGACTTTTCTCACTTAAGTGGCCTTATTTGTAAGAAACAGAAATCAGAGTTGGCCTTTGCCATCTGCAGTATTTGCCAGAAGTTTAAAATGTTACATACAAATAAAAGCAAGTTTTCCCAAAGTAGAACATTAGCAACAAGCAGCATCTAGGGCAAGAGATGAAAAACTTTCCATCGCACATACTTTCAACAACAATTAGCATTTCACAAAGTAAAATTCAAAATAACCTTATCCAAATAAAGGGAACGGAAACTGAATACATCTGAACTGAACACATCTGATCTGCATTAGTTGGATACGTGAACAAAGTGCTGAAACACACAACCAAGAAAGTCCCCTTCCTACGGGGACACGGGAGGGGGCCAGCAGACGGGTTAAACTTCCATGGCAAACCGAGTCAAAAGCAGGTTGGCTGGCGTGAAAACGAAGCTGTAATCCCCCGCTGGCCTTACGTGCCACCGACGGGCATAGGGCCGGGGGGCATAAGGAGATGCGAACAAGATGAAACGGTGAGGGAGAAGAGGAAATAGTTTAAATATGTATACACGTATATATACAGGTTAAGAGAGAGAGTCGTCACGTGAGCAGCAGATCTACGGGTGAGATTTACCTCCCCCATGAAAGCACCGGAAAAATGCAGAGTAATCTAAGCGGATGCGCGCACATGTGCGCATCCACGGACACACACAGCGCAGACACACAAAGCACACAGAGCGCATCTGCGGAGTTGCCGGGGTCCCAGCGCAAAGCAGCAGGTCAAGGCTGGAGTGACGATGCACCGCAGGACAGCGGCGCCTCCGCCGAGCCGCACCGGGCGGGGCGCGGCGGGTTCCAGCAGGAGCCGCCGCCCCCCGGGGCCGCCCGCTGCCGGGCGGATAAAGTTTGCAGCAGCCGCCGCTGCAGTGCCGGGTGCGTCCGCCGCAGTGAACGAGCCCTGCCTGCGGGAGAGCGAGCGCCGGTAGGCCCGGAGCCGGCCGCGGCATCCCTGCCTTCCTTCCCCACCTCCGCCCCGCCGCGCCCCCGCTCCACTGACCGATCACCTCCTGCAGCTCGTAGGCGTCCCTGCAGATGGGCCAGCCGGCGGCCGGCGCGGCGGGTGCGGGCGCCGGCTGGGGCTGCTGGACGTGGACCGGCGACTCGCCCTGCTCCGCCATGATGCTACCGGAGCGCCCAGGCACCCGACGACCTTCTCCAAACTTCCCCTCCAGCAACACCTTTCAGCCGCGCTCTGCCTCCCGCCCGCCCTGCCCGAGCAGCCGGCCGCCCGCCCGCCCGGCGGAGGGAGGAGGCAGGGCACCGAGGGGGAGGAGGCAGAGCGGCGCCGGCAGAGCGAGGCCGTGCCCCCGGCCGCGCCCCCGCCCGAGGGAGCGGCGCTGGCAGAGGCGCCCCGCGGGAGCGGCCCCGGTGCTCGCCGCCTGCCCCGGCACCTCGTAACCTACCTGCCCGCCTGCTGGCGGCAGCTCTGGCCGTCGCCCTTCCCCGCTCATCCCGCGGCTCGCTGGGATGCTCCGTGCGTCTGGAAGCACGGCGAGGTCCTGCCCAGGGCGGCGGGCTGAGCGTGTGCAGGCCACGGCCCTGCCGGCCGACAGCCGGAGCCCGCCGGGGCCGAGCGGGACGGCAGGGAGGGAGGGAAGCCGCGTCTTGTGGCGGATGCTAAAGCACCTGTTAGGCCGATGGCATAAGCACACAGGCTGATCTGGGGCACAGCTCACTAGAAGTGTCACTGCTGAGTGTGCTGCTGCTGCTCAAGATGACTTGTATTCGAATCTGAAGAGATGAGGAAAGCATTTTCTTTCATCCGTGATCGTGCTGCAGTCCTGCAAAGTGTTGAAGTCACCACATGATGAGTAGCCCTCTCCAGGACGAGTAGGACAGCTGCACCGTGTCACTTCAGTGCAGACACTGCCTTAGCTCATGACACCGAGAAGGACTGAGGACAGTTGAAAATGCTCCCCTTGGCTAACCACCACCAAATGATTTAAACAAATAAGAATAATGATTAAATGTCTCTAATGTTTCCCATTATACAGTGCAAGGTTTAACAAAACAAAAAAAAAAACCACAAAAAATAAAAAGCACACCAACCTGGGCTTAAAAGAAACTCCGCTGTTAATAATAGTATGGATTTTTTTCTTCTACACTCTTAGTAGTGTCAAGTATTCAATGATAGCATCAGGATTTTACTTACTATGAAGTAATTTAGAGACTAGTTATTTGTGTACAGTCTCAGTCCTATCAGTCCTGTTTTGAATGTTTTGCATTTTAAGACTTATGGAGCTCTGAGAAGAAGAATGATAACATAAGATATCCGTATAGTTCAAAATCTTACTTCCTGCTACAGAATGAACTTAAAGTAATTAGAACTAATACAGTATGTGAGCAGGAAAGCTCTAGCGCTGTCTAAAAGAACAGAACCTCACAAATCCTTAGGAAGTGTGATGAAGTGTGATTTAGAGTCAAGAAAAGATACATGTAACAACTAAAAGCTCTTAGATACTTTTTTCCGCTTGGGATAATGCCCTTTTCTAACTATTTTTTTGTGTGTTTCGTTAATTCCGTGAGAACAACTAAAAGCTGTTAGATACTTTTTTCCGCTTGGGATAATGCCCTTTTCCTAACTAATTTTTTGTGTGTTTCGTTAATTCCGTGACTCAGTTAATTGAAGGTTACTCCAAAAAGGAAAGCAAGTTACTTCTAGTTTATTGTGTTGCTGAGAAAGCTGAAGGAAGTCCTAAACACTGCTTAATGATTCATCAGGTGTATCAGCAACTTGCAAATATTTGTGCACTGCACTTCCATTTTCTCATAAGCAAAAGTTTAGCTTAGTATAGAGACTTTTAGCAGTCGAATTTAAAAATTGCATGTTTTTGTGCTCATGATTCCTCTCAATCTCATTTTTAAAAGCTATGTGATTGGAGTATTTTCCTATATACAAATTAGAAATTACTTGCCACAAAACTGAAGGTCAGCAAGACTTGGAAGAGGAAGTATTAAATTGTCATTCGTCATTAAGTTTAATGCCAAGACCTTTCTGCCAGAAATAGCATAAAAAAATAGTAAAAGAGCAATAGCACAGGCCAAATCAATCAGCAGAGAAAATGGGTTACTCACTATTGATGGAAAACAGCCAAGTTCTCCATCTGTACTCAGTTGTTGTTGGGGGGAGGAGGTTGGAGGTGGTTAGTTTCTGAGCCATGAATTTCTGTGATGCTACTGCCATATCACTCTTTAAATTGCTGGTTAGCATCTGATACCATTATAGTTACTTTTGTCCTGATTATTGCCCAATTTGCCCAACTAATCCCTACAATTTTGGGGATTTCTAGAGTGCACCTGCACTCTCCGGGACCTGGGGACAGGGAAGGGCCCCGCAGCCCCGGGCTCGGCTCCGCCCGCAGGCAGCGCCCTTCTCCTCCAGGCTTTCCAAACACCGGAAAGAACAGCAGCCTGCCGGTTTAGAAGGTTCCAGAGAAACTGATAGGACTCATGTACAAATCATTGTTCTCAGAATTGATGACGGTTCAGAATGATCGTGTCGGAATGTGATTTGGTCTTTCCCAGTGCCTGAACAAAGAGGGTTCCATGAGATTGTCAGGGTCACTGAGTTCTGTCACCAAATTACTGATTCCAAAGTGAATAAAGGCTTTACATAGCCAGGTTACAATCAAAACTGGTAGAAATAGAAAACCACACAGAAAACCACACAGGCCACTATGGCAGGAGAGTTAAAGGCACACTCAGACCTTTTGAAAGTTCCGTGCAGTACCCTCTGCAGATGGGACAAAAATGTGTTCAGAGCAAAATAAGTCAGACTTCTTTTCTAGGTTTGCAGAATTTAGGCAAGATAACATTGGTGCTTATCTGTTATCATGCTATTGGTGCATAACAATGACATTGCAGACCAACTAATTACTTTCAAACATAAGCATACCTATATAAATCACAGACAAGCATAAGGACTGGGGCTCATAAGCATATGGTGCATATGCTAGTAGCATAGACAAGGGACAGCATCCACCCAAACTACTTTTTTTCTGAATAGAAAGGCAGCAGATGCAACCAAAACAGCAATATAACCTACCACAGACTAACCCAGAGTGAGAAGAAACTCTTCTCTCTACTGTCACTCAGTCTACCTCAGAGAAATGAGTGAAGTAAAACCACCCTCTCTTCCACAAATGGCCTAAAATGCAGATATGACTATCACATACAGCAGCACTGCTCTCTCCAATTATGTAGGTAAGGTCTGAAAGCCTCTAATTTGGTAGCACTGAGGGGTGGCTGTGCTTTACACAATGCCATGAGATATGAATGCTGACACAACAGCAGCTGGTGGTGATGGGAACAGATTAAATGCTTTCAGCCTCCCTTTCTCCTCTAGTGAATGTAGAATTAAATAGGTACCATGCCCATTATTATTACTAGGATGCTTCCTTTCATCAAAGCTTACAGCTTAGGTTGGTTTCTGCTCACAGAGAACACATGAGTATCTTCTTGGCAATTCACATTACAAAATGCATTGTACTTAATACAGAATCATTTGGGTTAAAAGAGACCTCTTGAGATCATCCAGTCCAACCCTGCCCCAACCAAGGCAGGGTCACCTAGAGCAAGTTACACAGGAATGTTTCCAGGTGGGTTTCAAATGTCTTCAGAGAAGACTTCACAACCTCCCTAGGCAGTGTGTTCCAGTGCTCTGCAATACTTAATGTAAAGAAGTTCTTCCTCTTGTTGAGACAGAAACATCTCAACATTTACACTGCCACATTTACACTGAAAAGCCTTCAATTCCAATGACACTGTCATTGCAATTGGACACTAAGTTTCACTGAAGTTAATGTCCATCAAAGCATAGTGATGCTTTACAAAATAAGCCATTTCTATTTTTTTCCCTAGGTTGAAGGCCTTGATGCCTTCATCTCTTTTCTTCTCTCTTCCCCCCCTTGTAAACCTTTGTAAGCTGTTCCACTCAGCAGATTAGTCCTTTTAAGATCCTAGGAAAAGCTAGTTATATTATTGATTATTGAGCCAACTATGATTAAGCTAAATTTTGTTGCTATATAGTGAAATGGGTATTTTAATTATTTACTTATGCAGCACACCCCAAGCTGTTACTGGTCCTGCAAAAGAATTTTTTTAGGTATTTTTTTGTTAACCTGGTTTTCAGGCTACAGGTAGAGGAAATGCTCACATCTTTGTCTCAACCCCTTTGAAAGTGAGAAGGCCTGACAGGCATATTGAAGACATAACTTAAAAAGAATAAGGGAGCCTGGGTGAGCTTCTCTGCAGAGAGCAGATGCAGCCTGTGTGCTATCAGAGCTTGTTCCTCTGTGTCACAGCTGGCTTTGCATGTTGGGAACCCCTGTCACAGCAGCTAAGCCTCCCCATCCTCCCAACCAGCTTTTCAAAGCAGGCCATGGGAACACACTGTGCTGTTAACTTGCTCTTGCTGCCAAACCACCCAAAACTTTACCATTACCAGATAAATATTACTAGCTCATTCCAGCACCATGAGTCCCAGTGGCTAATTACCTAAATCATGATGGCACATCAATCATTATACATTTCAAACATTCAAAATTCAGAATTTTGCATGCATTTAGAATATTTACATGCTAGCCATTCATGTATTGGCAACATAGCCTTTTTGGAATCTGCAGGAACCGCAATCTCCACAATGATTATTTGAATGAATTTAGGATACAGTCACCATGAAAATGACAGTGAACTAAATATTATTGTTGCTTTTGAACTACAGTTTAATATAATTAAGATGTTGTGGAGGTGTCCAGCTTACTGAAGCTTTTAGCAGGAATAAACTCTCCATTGCTGTGAATGAATAAAATTCAAATATATAAAAGATTTGATCTAGGAACTTCTATGGCTTTCATCACTGTAGGATATGAACATCTCATGCATATTAATAAATTAATTTTCACATACAAAAAGACTGGGGAATATAATTACCTCAGTTCACAAGAGGAAACAGAAAAAGCTTAAGGGATTTGCTAAAAGTCATAAAAGAACTGGGTAGCAAAACTGTGGGAGTGTAACACGTATTTCCTAAGGATGAGATTTCACACAGCCTCATGAGACCAGGGATCTAATCTGGTTGACAGCTAATTCCAGTTTGGTTCATCTGAAAACATTGGCTGGTCACTGGTTAGCCAAACAAGCCATAGACAGGATAAACAAGGGAGACCTGAAAAAAATGTGGCCAACAGTGGGGAATAGGAAACGCCACCATTCAAGCAGAAGAACAGTTTTAGCTTTGTTAGATGATCATGGAATGGCCAAAATAATACCTTAATTAGAAAAGGCTATTCATCATTTGAGTAAATGACCCTAGCCTTTTTAAATTTTCTTTTTATACTATCAGAGAAGAAACAGTCCATATTTTCCTGGGAATCTACAAGCTTCAATGCAGCAATGTGCTTGAGTTCTTGGGATTTAAAAATTCCTAAAGGTTTTCCTTTTAGTTTTGGGGGTGTAAGTTGAAATAGTTTTGAAATCTATATGCCATAAGTGTGCCTGTATATGAAACTCAACCATTAAACAAAAAACTGTGATTACATTTAGACGTTCTCTTTTTTCCTTCTGGTGTTTGGTTTTTTGGGTTTTTTTGGTTTTTGTTTGTTTGTTTGTTTTTGTTGGTTTTTTGGGGGGTTTTTTGTGGGGTTGGGGTTTGGTTGGTTTTTGCTTGTTTTGTTTGGTTTGGGGTTTTTTGTTTGTTTGTTTGTTTGGCGGGTTTTTTTGTTTTGTTTGTTTGTGGGTTTTTTGTGTTTTGTTGGGGTTTTTTTGTCCTGGAATATTTGGGGTCTGATGAGCAGGGCTTCCTGGGAAATCAAAATGGCACTTAAAGCCAAAATAAACTTTGCTCAAATTTTATAATTTCTCTCTATGTTGCTGCATAAATTTCCCTTCAAGTAAGTCAACAAGATTCCCAGTCAAACTTGAGCATTATAAAAACCTCAGGCTCCCATCTCTCAGGGCAGCTTGCTTGGCTTTTACAGGACTGGCAGAGTTCCTCAGTCTAGGTCACCCTTGAGGAAGAAAGGTGTTTAATGAAGAGCTTCTGTCTGAGCAAGTCATGTCAGCAAGCAACAAGGGCTGGGCTGCCTTGGAGGCCAGGAGCCACAAGTGCTAGTGAGGCAGCAGGGCCAGTGGCCACGCCAAGCAGAGGCATCCTGCCAGGAGCCCAGACAGACCCAGGGGCAGCAGCCAGAGTCAGCTGACAGTCCAGTGACTGCCAGGTGAGTCTAGGGACAGGGCAGCTCCAAGGTGCAGCCAGAGAGCTCAGCCAGCAGGCAGGGTCAGGAGCATCCATGTGCAAGACTGGGCTCTGCTGCTGTGTAAGTAGGGAGGCAAGGACCAAGCACAGCCATTGCTCAGGCAAGAACCACAGGCAAAGGTAGGAGCTTGAACACAGCAGAGGACCCAGGCAAGACTTCTCACACCTCTGTCTTGCAACTTGGCTGTTTTCACAGCACTTTGATCTGAGATTACAGAGCAGCACCATGTCTGA